TTTATCAGCCTACACTGCCACACTGTAGCTTCGGCTTTATATCCCCTATTAGTAAACAATCAGTCATTCAGTATAGCCACACAAGGCCCGTTTAACCCCTTCAGCTCTCAGAGATGGTTTGCTGAGTCACACACAACTCAAAATGAATAGATGTGATTGTTTTTAGGGAATATGACTGCTTGCTTCTATCATCAGCTTCTATCATAATTCATTCATTCATTCATTCATTCATTCATTCATTCATTCAAATTCAAATTCAAAGAGCTTTATTGGCATGACTGTAAAACAAATCACAATGTTGCCAAAGCAATAACAAAATACAGAACATTCATATAGATAAAAGAAATATTCATTCATTCATTCATTTTCCTTTGGCTTAAGCTGCAATCACACTAGAGTTTGAGCATGTGAAATTCTGTCGTACATCGCTGCGAAAAAGGGCGGTATTAAACTAGATCATTAGACATTTAAAAAAGTGAGCGATTGGTCTATGTTTTAAATTTCTGTCCAGAGAGGCCATGTTTTGATCCTCAATTGGTCTCACACAGTCAAGTGATGCGATTTCGCTGGTCAGAGTTCACCAAGCTTGAACTTTGCACCCGCAGCGAACTGCGAAACGTGACGCATGACCCTGTGTTTCCGGTCTGAAGCAATCGCATGCGTAGGAATGGAAGTCTATGGAAAGTAAAGTCCAGTGTGACCGTAGCTTTAGCCTCTCTTTTAGAGGTTGCGACAGCGGAATGAACCGACATAACTGATTTATTATTATTATCATTATTATTATTATTATTATTTTATATTATTATTATTATTTATTATTATTATTATTATTATTATTATTATTACAACTACTGCAACAATTTAATAATACATTCTAACCATTTTCACAGTATGAATTACATCTTCATACAATAAATATGTCTGGGCGCTATCGTTGTGGAGGGGGATTGAGTAACGTCTAAAAGATTAAAACCCATTAATTGATTTTTTGATTTATTGTTTTATTTAGCACAAAGGAAATTGTGACATTATCTAGGTAATTTAAATAAAATGAAAGTGGATTTTCCTTTGAGAAATGTTCCCGTTCCTCTTTTGTGTTGATGATGAAATGCTAATTAAGGTCCTGTGATCTCCTGCCCTTTGAAAATCTCATTAATTACTGTTCCTACTCAAGTGCTCTTTTGAGACATTTTACAATCCTTATGCATATCAACTACACTTAATGGTAGAAAAGTAGGCTTCAAAATACATTTACAACCTATAAATATTGAAGTAGCTCCCCTAAAACCAATAGGGGGTTATATCCCTTAGTAGTAAACACGTCATTCAGCTTCCTGTCTTTCTTCTATAGAACACAAAGGAAGGTTTTTTTATATGCTGAACATATTTTGTCTTCATGTTTGGCCCTCATAAAATGAAAGAAAGTGGGATTGTGTTTTAACTGCATTTGTCCATAATGAAAGTTTTGTTTTGGACTCAATTGACTTTCATTATTTGGACAAATGCAGTTAAAACACTCTGCAAAACTGTATGTCATACAGGTTTATTAAATTTTTTTATATGCTTTTTTATGCATTTTTTTACCTTTTTAGTTTTGTTGTTGGCACTTTAGTCAACTTTGTGCATTATGAATAATAATAATAATTCCTTACATTTATATAGCGCTTTTCTGGGCACTCAGTCTCCTCATCCACCACCAGTGTGCAGCATCCACCTGGATGATGCGACGGCAGCCAATTTCCACCAGACCAAACACCACAGACCAGCTGATTGGCGGGAAGGAGACAGAGTGATGAAGCCAATTATGATATGGGGAGGGTTAGGAGGCCGTGATGGACAGAGGCCAGTGGGCAAATTTGGCCAGGATGCCGGGGTGAAACCCCTACTCTTTTTTGAATGACATCCTGAGATTTTTAACAACCACAGAGAGTCAGGACCTCGGTTTAACGTCTCATCCAAAAGACGGTGCTCACTGAGCAGTATAGAGTCCCCGTCACTATACTGGGGCATTAGGACCCACACAGAATGCAGGTTGGGCACCCCCTGCTGGCCTCACTAACACCACTTCCGGCAGCAACCTAGATTTTTTTTTTTTAAAGCTTTTCCATGCGGTCTCCCAACCAGGTACTGACAGGGCGCAGCCCTGCTTAGCTTCAGTGGGTGACCATGTGAGAGTTGCAGAGAGCTGTTGTACTTCCAACAGAAATGGTGTATTAAGTAGGGGCGGGGCTTTCTTTTTGCATATCATTCAATCATAGCAAACTAACAGTGAGAGGGGCAGGGTTAAGACTATTGTCCCTGAAGCCGTCAAACTGATTTCAACAGAGAAGGACCGTTACTCCAAATGCAGAAGCAAACTTATTTTTTTTCAAATGATTAGCTTGGGCAGATTAGATTTTATCTAAAGAATAAAAATGTGCTCTAGCAAAATAAGGAAAAGATATTCACATTAGGGCTGTACGATACTGAACAAAAATGGCATTGCCATATTTTGATTTGCTGCAATTATATTGCGATACGAATACAATTTCACTAGATGGTTCTATTTGGAAGGAATTCATTCATTTAGACAGATTGGGATTACTCTGAAAGATTATGGGGATTATTCTGGATTATTATTGGGTAGATATAAATGTAATATGTTACATCACAGTATTCACGTACAGAAATGTAATAATCAAATGTAAAATTTCACTGTATAGTCTTCATTGTATAAATTATTTTTATAACTACATCTTTATTAGTCACAAACACTACAATTGCCTGTGCCTGAATACTTTAAACTCTCATGCCTAAACACTTACACAGTCACTGGCCTTAAAAACAAATCCAAATGATAAACTTTCACTTCATTATGGTGAAACTCTTCAGTGAAATCTTCTGTTTTCTGAACTGTGATGTTCTATAATCTATATAACACATATCATAAATAACATAAAGTCAACATTCCACTTCCTGTGATGTGACTATTGTGGATGTGCACATTGCGATATCGATCCTGAAACAATATATTGTGCAGCACATGGATTTTAATGAATTATTTCAGCTCTTAAACCAGAAATATGCATTATGTGTGGCTTTGTGTGTTCCATCTCACTGACACCCCTCAAATACTGGCCTACCATGAGTAAACTAAATACCATCTATGCCTCTCAGCTTTCTCTGCCATGTTGAAATCACCTTGAGTATGTGTGCCAACCAGCCTACACTGCCCCACATTCATTGCAACTCTGTAGCTTCGGGTTTATATCCCTTATTAGTAAACAATCAGTCATTCAGTACAGTCACAAGGCCTGTTTAACCACTTCAGTTCCCAGAGATGGTTTGCTGAGTCACATGTGACAAAAAATAAATAGATGTGATTGTTTTTAGGGAATATGACTGCTTGCTTCTATCATCAGCTTCTAATATAATTCATTCATTCATTCATTGTCCTTTGGCTTAATCTCTATTCTAGTCTCTAGTCTCTATTTCCCTACTGTGCAAGAAACATGTGCAATACTTTCTCATACACACTTGTACAGAGCACCTTATAACAATATAAAATGCAATACTTTCTCATAGGCATTTGTACACAGCACCTTATAAATCGTATATTTATAACAAATCTGTACATACAACTCATCATCCAGATCTCTTTTGTCTAATTGCATCACTTGTCCCTTTGTGTACACTGAAAGCTTTTGTTGCCAAAACAAATTTCTCGTGTGTATAAAGCACACTCGGCATAAAAACCTATTTCGATTCAGATTTTAGAGGTCGCCACAGTGGAATAAATCGCCATCACTCATTTATTTATTTATTATTATTATAACATATATTTTTCTTTTTGACTGAGCAATCATCTGTTCTCTTCATGCACCCCTTGAGGGGAACTTCAACTTTTAAATGGTAAAACTGCAGTACATTATGCATTGGTAGGGAGATCACAAGTTAACTTAGCTCTATTTTTAGTGCCCTAACATTTTAGGAAAAAAATATAATCATTTTGCTTTTTTTATATCTTCTTCATATTTTTTTAAATTCATTGTTTAAATCAAAGAACACACATGACATTACGCAGCATCACAGTATTTTATAATCCCCTTAAAGTTACATTGTCACTACTGTATAGTGTGTCGTATTGGAGTGATTAAAACCCAACACGTCTCTTTTTTAAAATTTCCGGACGTTAAAATAGGACCCAAATTACAGTGATTCTGAGGCTCACTTCAGTGTGAAGCAGGAGTGCGGTTTTCCCCAGCAACTGAATTGATTGACAAGCACTATTTTTCTGTGATCGCATGAATACACATGTTCACAGAACATTTTTTTGCAAATAAACTGGGAAAAAAATGTTCCAACTTACTGTGATTTTTTTAAAGATTTATAAGTTAAAACATTTTCAAAACAGAGTATGTTTATAATAAAGACAGTAAAATTGCTATGTAATTTTTAACTGCTATAATCACCATGGCCATATGGTGTCAGTAAACGCTAATATGTTTATATGTGTGTGTGGCAAACGGCACAAACGGCATTTGTGTGGAACTCATAATTTCAGAAAGGCTCATATAGACTCCACCACAAATACAGGAAATAAACTTAATTGGTATTTTTGACTAATGAGCTCTATTTCAGCTTCATCTATGTCTGTCTACATCACTGACTGCTGTTTATCTGAAGTAATGCAGGAGAAACAGACACGCACGGTGGGTGGGGAGAATCAGCTCAGTTGCATTTAAAGCCACAGGCTTCAAAAACAGCTACACTGTACTCAGACAATAAAATGGGCAGATTCTGAAGCCTTTATTAAATGATCTGATGGCTTTTTTGAAACTTTTCAAACACATTCTGGAGACATCAAAGGCTTATCTCACATCTTGCAGAAGGGGTAAAATAGGTGCCTTTAAAAAAAATTAAAAATCATTGTTGACCAATTGTCATTTTTTTAGAGGTGGTTCTCTAAATGACAGTATAATAAAGAGAATTGTAGTCACTGAAGTGCTGCTTTTCCTCAGGTCCTCCACGAGCCCTTGATTGACGAGGATCCCGTGTTCATCACCACATGTACAGAGCGAGAGCTGCGCAAGAGGAAGAAGAGGAAGTTCAGCCTGTGGGTTCGACAGTGCAGCTCCACTGGCTTCATCTGTCAGGTCAATCACACTCACAATCACCCATGCTGTGAAATTACAATCTTTAAAAATCAGTACGTCTTGGTTGACACAAACAAAGCAATTTTCCACCATTCTGTGATATTTGTTAACATAAATAAATAAAGGCCTACATTGAGGCAGATTACTAGATGCAATCAATAAAATATCATTTATAGAGTCAACAAAGAAAAAGAAAGCCCAGACCACTTAACATAATTGCTCTCTTCTTTTGGTCTGTGCCTATTAGAGAAAATAACTGCTGTGTGCCTGGAAAGCAAACCAAGCAGAATTTGTCATCCTCCTGTGAAATTGTTATTCTTTTGCAAATATTTTCAAAGTTATGTTTAACAAAGCAAGGGGATTTTCACAGTATTTTCTATTAAAAAAAAATAAATTCTTCTGGAGAAGTCTTGTTTATTTTTTATTTTTATTTTTTGCTTGAATATAAATGAATAAAAGCAGTTTTCTTTTAAACAAATTTAAAGTCTATCTTATTAGCCACCTATATAATACATGCATATATATATATTTTTTAGTAACTTTTTATTTTTGCATTAAAGTCATGTTTTAATCATATTTATGAGTTGAATGCACATGATTGCCACAACAAATAAAATATATGTTTTTTAAATTCTTAAGAAATTAAATATATAGAGAGAATAAATATTGACCTAAAAATTAATAAATTAAAAATTAAATAAAAAAATTATAAAAAATGAAATTATATATATACATATACTAACACACTAACACACACACACACACACACACACACACACACACACACACACACACACACACATATATATATATATATATATATATATATATATATATATATATATATATATAAGGATATATATATATAAGGAAAGTTGAATACGCTGGCCAGTTTTTTTTTTTTTTTACATTTAAATGAATGGTATTTAAAACAGTTTTTAATTCAAAACTTTAACACATTTCTATTTCCTTTCTAATACATGATGTAATCAATTTGTACTTTAAAAATGAGTATTGTTCTCATATTTATTTATTGTAAATGTTTAGGAAATGTTTTTGACACATCAAAAACTGTGGTTATGTTAACCATCCAACAAGCTAATCAGCAAAAAAAATAGTGTTTAAAATGTCACTAAAATTCAGTATTTCAACCTTATAATTTAATAGAAAACGAGGCAAATAACTGCAAAAATGCCACATTTTAAAAAAAAAAGAACATCCCCTTTCGCTAGGCTGGTTATGGACCTGACCTTTCTCAAAAATACTTAACATTGAACAAATAATTACGTCAACGTGATACATGTTAATGCATCTCCTCATGGTTTTATCCACAATAATAACGCTAATAACGTTTCTCAACAGATCTATGTCCATCTGAAAGAAGGTCCTGGTCCAGATGGTTTGGACACGCTAAAGAACAAACCGCAGCTTCACAGTCTGGTGGCCAAACAGCTCTGTCAGAATCTGGCCGGCCGCAATGCCATCATCTTCACTGGACCGAGCATCACGAGTCTAAACTTGTTCCAAGAGTTTGAGAAACAGGGTAGGTGTTAACCAGTGCTTGTCTGTCAGTTCCCTGCATCCTTATCTGCTCTACTTCTCTCAGCAAATTCTGCTCTGGCTTTGTGTTTTCTCCGTCTCTTTAATCTTCTCTCCATCTGATGTTCCTCGTCCCCTGCAGTTTTTAATTACACGCTGACAGCATCCTGTGGCAGAGAATAAATGGAGAGTGTGAGTGGAAGCTGACCTTGAGTTCTTACAGTAAACGTGTGCTTCATACTCAAAGATTATTTCAATGCCTTCTGCTGGGATGCAAGGAGAGAATGTTAACACACTTCACACACAGTGGATCAGGCTAGTGGCCAGCTTCACTCTTTCCCTCTGCATTTCAATATTTGACATTATGAGAGATGTAAGTCCTAACTGAATCTCTTGGAGAAGATAAATTAGCTTTAAACGAAATGATTTTTGTGGCAGTCTGTTTGCATGGGATAAAACAAAATATTTCTAGTTCGCAATTTTGGCTTAATTTCTCACAATTCTGACATGCTGTTGTGCATTACTGAGTTCACTTTTTACAGTTTTTCTCAATTGCTTTGGCTTAAATCTTGAATGAAATGTTTTAAAATGATAAGTTCAGGCCTCTGAACAATTACACTGTAAAACCCAAAAAGTCAAGGTAACTCAAACCATTTGAGGAAACTAATTGCAACATACCATTTAAATTCAAATACTAATCCTTGTGAGTACTGTGAACTTAATCCATTTGAGTAAACGAAAGAATTTGAGCAAAGTAAAACCCAATAAATAAAGAGAACTTAAACCAACTGAGCACTGTAAAACCCAATAAGTAAACTCAACTCAAACCGTTTGAGGAAACCGATTGCTGCAAACCATATGAGTTAAAAAACTAATCTGTATGAGTACTGTAAACTTACTCCATATAAGTTGAGGTAATGAGGTATTTAATTGACTCATTACCTTCAACACTGAGTTGAATTTCCTGTTGATTTCAGCAAATTGAAAATACTAGTACAAATGTTAAACAAAAAAATATTTTTGTGTTGTTGATCAAAGCTGATGAGACGATTCTCATTTAAACTGTCAAACCCTTCACACCTTCTCAATCATTTTTCATTGTGTAAGCCATCACGCTCAAAACTATTTATTTAAGTACCAAACACGTTTACTCATATCTGATATAGAAAGAGTTTGTAATGTCTGCTAAATTAGTAAATGACCACTAATTGCAATACAATTTAATCAACTATTTCCCCAATAAAATCTGGGTGCAAATATATATTACTCAACAATGGAAGTGGATCAAAAAGTGTCATCAAAGTTGTCTAAAAACTATTTACCAATACCATTCTTGTCGTACTATAGGACAATTTTGATCCATTTTGATACAATGCTGACTACTGTATATGCAGATCGCTCACAGCACAAACACTACTTTTTTTTGAAAATGGAGAACATTCACAATCCTGAACTGCAGCAACATGCTTGTGGAAGAGCAATTGGTTGACATGTAATCTCTGGCCTGACCAACGAGAGCGACAGGATGTTTGCGAAGACTTTTTTTCATGGATGTTTATTTTGTAGTATTTTTGTGTATTTGTGGGAACTATTTTTTTTAATCCAGAGTACAGCAAAAACAGTCAAATGTTTAAATGTTTGTTCTAATAAAATGTCTGTTTTATATTCTTATTTATTTGAAAATATAATTCATTTCTTTGAATTCAAAGATTAACTTTTAGCATCATTACTCCAGTCACATGATCCTTCAGAAATCCTTCTAATATTCTGATATGCTGGTCAAACATTTATTTCATATAACATTTTTTTAAAATTAATTAATGCAGGCTTGGTGAACAGAAAAAAGATATCTTTTTAAAAAAATCATAGTAGAATCAGTAGTATATTTTTAAAAATTCTAACTTTACATCTTGCAATTCTGACAGTATCTATCATAACTTAATATTTCAATTTTGCCATACTGTCTTTATTTCTTGCCATTCCGCTTATATTTTTATAATTAAAACTTCTTGAAATATACATTTTATTGCTCAAAACACTTTATTTCTTGCAATTCTGTGTTTATATTTTACAATCCAGAGTTTAATCTTGCATACTGAGTTAGTGACTTTAGATCTTGCAGTTCTGAATTAATGAATTATAATACTGACTTTCTGTTATTTTTAGTATTTACAATACCGGATTCAGTTTTGTTTTACTTTCTTATTTTACTTCCAACTTAATATTTTGCTGTTCTGAATTTAAATTGCATCTCGCAATTGCAAGGTTATATTGTATATTTCTGTTCCTTCAAAAAAAGTAAATCTTTGACAGTTAATGAAAAAAAAACAAGAACAACAAAGAAGATTAACCGAAGTGAATCAATAGTTACTTCAAGAAGAGTACAATTTTACAACAGTCCATTGTTTTTTTTTTTGTTTTTTTTGCAAAAGTGTTACTTTACACAAAATCTATGATATATATGTTCTGTAATAAGTTTAACTGCTGGGGAATGTCCAAAACTAGAGCTCAGTGGAATGGCGAAACAAAAGATGTAATAGCAGTTCAAACACTCCAGAGTAAATCCTACAGGACTTCTGACAGCACTGCACAAGCACATAAAATGAAAACCTTCAAGGGAAGATTAGTCACACAGTTGTCCTCTTTCTCTTGCGGCAAGGATGAATATGAGTAATCAGCACATCTCAATCAGACCTTAGATTCAGGCTAAAGCATCTGACGATGCTGTAGAGAAGACATCTGCTCACAGCTTCACACATGCAGTCCTCTATTCATCCAATCAGCTTTCAAATGTCAGCACTTGTTGTGCCGTGCACTGAATACTCAGGCTGTATATTCATTCTCAGATGGGCTATTATTTTTATTTCTGCAGGCATCTACTGCTGCGGGCTGCTGAGCATCAGGAAGAGTGATTGTACAGGCCTTCCACAGTCAATGCTGATCAATACAGAGGCTCCACAGCAGCGTGGCCAGTCTCATGTTAAGATGAGAGGAAATATGTCCATAATCAACTGGTACAACAAAGGCAACTTCAGGTTTCTCACTAATGCCTACTCTCCTACTAAAGAAGGTAAGAAAAACACACAAAAGACTGGCTTTACATTTCCTCTAGCTTAAATGTGAAGTAGTTTCTATCTACCTACTGAAATTATAAAAGTAAAACCTTTCCAAAATACCTCTTAGATTCACCATGTCTTGTAATCCACTATTTCTTACTATTCAGAATCCATATGCACCCACTAACAGGTCAAATCTTCTTCTCTCTCCTTCAAGTTTACAGCAAACCTGAATGCCAAAATGCCAAATTTTAGATATATATAAATAGTCTATGCCAGTGTTTCTCAACTGGTGGGTCGCGACCCACTTAACATTTTCAGTGGATCGCGGAGTGTGTGGTCAAAAAAAACAACAAAAGTTAAATTTTTTACTTATTTTGCTTATACTAGACTTTTATTTTGAAATGCTTTCGCGACAACCCTACCATTTGACATGTGAAATTTCATTTAATTATAGCAACAAATATGTCGAAGCCCAAGTAGGACCCCGAACATGTAAAGTATATATATATATATATATATATATATATATATATATATATATATATATATATATATATATATATATATATATATATATATAATGACGACAAAAAAGACTTAAATTTACATTTAGAAACCAGAAAACATGTTTTATTAACAGTTTATTATTAACAGTATTTGTCAATTTTACTTTATAATATTTCTATAGTTTGATCCATTTTGTTAAATGACAGCAATAAAATAGTGTTTATTTGTAAGTCTTGGTGAATTTCTTATGATTTATCTGTCAGAAATGGCAGCTCTTAACGTAAAAAGCGCATTCAGTGAGATTGGCCCCTTCGAAAGCTAAAATGGAAAGCTCTATTTTTACCTTATTTAGAAGGGTCATAAATATTAATAAGCTCTTTTCTTATACTCCTGCAGCTCTGGTCTCTGTAGCTGCCACAGTGTGATATACTCTGAAATAAATATGTGCAACAGGGACAGACAGAGATGTATTTAGAGTTGTATTTCTGTCGGTTTAACTTATATGAAAATACAAAGAGGGAAATTATGTTGCCTCATTACAAATTTCACACTTAAGTTTATCTCTCCAGAATTTTGCATTCTGACAAGCTGTAAACAGACAAGATTCTCCATGGCTGTTAAATGTACATAGAATTACGCAAAATAAGAGTCTCACATACATAGGAAATATGAGCGGATTTATAAACTGGGAAATAGAAAAAAACTAGGAAAAAACTAGGAAATTTATTATTGATCCTGTAAATAATGTAAGAGTCTATGCTGTGTTTCAATTGGCCTGTTTTTTCAGCGGTCTTTTACACTCAAAGGATTTACATGAAAACCAAGGAAAACATCTGGTTTTGCAGCAAATTTCCTCCTCCCTTACAGTTTGCTCTTTCCGGATGTGCTGAAATCTGCCATATGTCACACATTCGGACTTCAATAAACCCACAGAAAGCAGGTTAATGTGTTTACATCCTGGGTGCAATCGCCATGAAGGCTGTGTCGATTGGTTTAAGCTTAAGCCGTTCGTGGCCTTGCTCTGATAAAGAAAATGCATGTAGATAGACTAAGTGTAGCTTATCATTTGAGAAGAAATTCTGCAAGTTCACCATCTTATATGAAACCTAAAAACTGATCAAATTCCTCCATCTTGCGAAAGCACCCTCAGTGTTTATTCTTGTTTTCCCCCTTTGGCCTCAAATTCTACTGTAGCTGGCACGTCTGTAAGCCAATCTGAAATTCTTTTTCGTTTTTTTTTAAAAAGCAGTGCTCATAAATGCTTTCTTAACAATAAATCATTCATTCATTCATTCACTAATTTTTCTTCATCTTAGTTCCTTTTTTATTAAGGGTCGCCACAGCAGAATGAACCAACAATTTATCCAGCATATATTTTATGCAGCAGCCAGTGGATACCCTTCCAGCCGCAACCCAGTACTGGGAAAATAATAAATCAACGTAAAAGTATTTATTTTAGACATTTAAAATTGTACATACGACACCATTGAATGTAGTTTCATTGAGCATAAATGATACAATCTATAGCAAAGCACCTCTTGCATTTTCACTATAGTATTGCGAGTTTAGATTGGTTTTATGTCAGTGTATGTGGATTAAATGAATATTGTGCGCATCATAGGATAAAGTAAGGCAAAGCCTAATCGTATTGCACTGATCTTCACTTTCTTTGATAGGCCTTGATCTCTTCACATCAGCAGCTTCACAACCGACAGTTAAGGGCTGGTACCAGACATTTTCATTAATTGAATGTAAGCATATACTGTATACTATAGTTTCGGCTGTATACTATGGGTTGCGGCTGGAAGGGCATTCGCTGCGTAAAAACTTGCTGGATAAGTTGCCGGTTTATTCCGCTGTGGCAAACCCGGATTAATAAAGGGACTAAGCCGACAAGAAAATTAATGAATGAAAGACTGTATACTACATAGCACCAATTCAATCTCATTCCTTTTTTTTCTTTTCTTTCTTTTTTTTTGCAAACAAGTCAAAAAATAAATGCATAAAAAAAACACTTGTTCATATATAAATGCACATAAACACATGTAAACAAATTCACGTTTGTGTGGTAATGGCTTCACCTCTGGTTTATGAGGTCAGGCAAACAGGAGATTAAATTTTGACATATATTTAATTCTCTTGAATCTCCAATAATCTGTTTGTACAGCCAAAACTGCCTCTGCTCTTCTGCCAAACTTTCTATACGTAACCTGAGCCTAAACTCAACTCACAGCTTCAATTTCTAGACAATGTGTATGTTCACAGTCTATAAAAATATTTATTCAAAAAAACTAAAAAAAAAAAAAATATATATATATATATATATATATATATATATATATATATATATATATATATATATATATATATATATATATATATATATATATATATATATATATATATGGGAAGGGGGTGACATTTTCAATGAGAAATAACAAAACAAGAGGGTAGTGATAGATTGATCTCAAATATGGGAGACTAAAAAAACGGGAGTGTTGGCAGGTATGCTACAGTATATACTCGACTTGAAGAGGATGAAATGACTGGTCTAAACTTGCTGCAAAATAGATGTACACCATTAGTAATGGTTATTCAACACATTTGCCTTATTAAAATGATCTAAACATTTTAATCTTTTAATTATTGTAATTTTTTCGAGATATTGTCTTCCCTTTTCTGTCATTTATTATTCATTTGCTGAATATTTTAGTAATTTGATGATGATAATATATTACATAGACTATTTTATATACATTTCTAAAATTCTTTGGCATTCAAGTTTGCTGTGAACTTGAAAGAGAGAAGCAGATTTGACCTGTCAGTGGGTGCAAATGAATCCTGAATAGCATAAAAGTAAGAGAAATAGTGGATTTCTTTTTTTCTTCTTCTTCTTTAACCCATTGAAAAGAAACAGTGTATAACAGTGTCATAATGAATAAAATTATTGTTAAAAATTAAATTATGTTTTGTTTGTGTGTAAATGATGTGGGTAAATGGTGTGTTTCAATCTGGCTACCATCGCAAACGTATTTTAAACTTGTGGGCAGCACTATAAAGTATATATACCGTTCAAGTCAGAATTATGAGCCCCCCTTTGATTTTTTTTTTTTTTAGCTGATTCTAGTTAGTTAGTGATTTTAGGTTGTTAAATAATAATTCTTGTTAGCTTGTGATGCTAGCTAATGATTCATGTTAGCTTGTGACACTAGGTTGTTAGCTGATTTTTGTTAGTTTGTGATGCAAGCGTGTGACGTTAGATTGTTAGCTCATCATTTTGTTACGAGGACAGAATGACATTTCTTTATTCTCCTACTGTAGGTGTGATCATTAAGAGGAAGAGTGGAGAAATCCCATGTCCCCTTGCTGTGGAGGCCTTCGCTGCACACCTGAGTTACATCTGCAAATATGATGACAAGTACAGCAAGTGAGTTTGACCAGGAATCAAAGCAAGAGTTCAGTCCCCTAAAAAAATTAGCTGGTGATTTGCCTTCCCTCAGGACATCTAAAATGTACGTGACTCCCTCCAATCAGACCATTAAAGAAGATTTCTAGCTGAAATTAAGTCAATGGCTACTGGCACATTGAGCGTTTAAGCATAATAAGCAAACAATTGGTCTGTACAAGAAACAAAAGATTGTGGGCTTGGATTAATATAATGTTTCTTACCTAAGACCTCAGTGTACCATCAGGAACCTCTAGTGTTTCAAAACTGAATTTATCAATAATATTTATGATTTTTTTTATCAATAATTTACTTTACTTTAGCCTCATGCACACCAGGACGTTTAATGTTCATGCTTATCTCATGTTTAAGCAAGACCTTTTTTTATTTAATGCCTAGTGATTGCCTAGTAAATGTGCAAAACCACTTCCTGACACAGATGCTGCTTTATGAGAAACTAAATCACTGCTGTACACAAATGTTTTATGCTTCTGACACTCACAAAGTTGTCACCCTCATGCTTTTTGATTGTGTACTTAGCTATTTCAGGTCTATTTAAGCTCCTCCACTACAGCACACAAACAACTGGTCAAAAGTTTGCAGGAAAAAAAGTTACAAGCCATGAAAGAAAATTAAGTGAAAACGTAACTTACCATTGAATTCTATTGATCTTCAATTCCTTTGTGCTTGAGCGCTACCAGGAGGAGCAGGTTTAACCAAAAATGGAAGAACAGTAATCAGCCGCTTAGGGCCCCAGGATAGTATAAATTATACACATAACATCATTTTCTATCATATTTTGTATAGTGAGGGTGTAACAAATTTATTTTAACATAATTAAAACATCTACACAAATTTGCAGTCCTGCAGTCAAGTCAGGTAAAAATCAATTAATTCATTCTTTTTAGTTGTGAATTAATTTTTAAAGAAACAAATCATTTAGAAATTGCATTAAGATAAAACATGGAATATGAGATGCAGTGATATAAGGGGGGGGGGGGGGGGTAAATAAATACATTTCATAAAGTACAAATAGTTTCATTTTAGGACTGTTGGACCCCATGGCTGGAACTGCTAAGGACCCCCAAATTACTAAATCTGCCCATGGCATGTGAACAAACAACCAATCTCATTGGTCAGCCCATTTTTAACAGAATGAAGTTTCACAAACTAATTTCGAGAGGAGCACATAATATGATTAAGCACGACTGCCGTCTCGTCTGTAATCAGTATTCCAATCATAGTGATCCAAGCTTACTATAAATGGATAATTTTTCTCCCTATTGCTCTATCTTTGTTTTGGAAGAATCCCCCTTCCACCCCATTTCCTCCTTTTCCACCCTTTTCTAAAGGGGAGCTCTCGAGACCTACCTGATCTCGAATCCCCTCATATGCTTATTGACCGGGAAAGAGCCTTGAGCTCAAGTATCTCCAAGCTCAGGGTTCTCTCCCTGGACAGCATGCCAAACCTGCCATAAACGCTAAGCATATCTAAGTGGGAACTGTTGAATTGCCTCACAGCAAAACAGAATGAGCCAGAAGAGGTTTTATAAGCCCTCTGGGGTCTTAGGGGTTTTTTAGGCTCTGGTGAAGTATTTGGCATGCCCTGACATGTGCTTTTTTTAGTTTCTTATAAATATGTTAATGACTAAAGTCTGATGACACTGTATTTAGCCCAAACTGTGCTGAAATAATATGAAAGCAGCAGTCTGTATGGTGTGGCATTTTTTGATAGTTAGAGCCACAGAAAAGGGCTTTTGTGTGTGCCATTTTGCACATTCAATGTGCACACTCAAATTAGCTCCTTTGTTTAGTCATGAGCCATCATAGATAATAGCGCTTGATAATTGGTGCATGAGTGCTAGTATTGACTTTCATTTCCTGAATCACCAAGAACCAGAGTTTCAGCTAAAAATCTTCTTTAATGTTCCACCGAAGAAGTCACCTACAACTCGAATGGCCTGAAGGTAAGTAAATCATCAACAGATTTTCATTTTTGGGTGAACTCTCCCTCTGTGCATCCCTTATCCAAAGAGTACTGCATCCACATGGATTTACAACTCTTTTTCCAACTAGGTATTTCATTTTCCACAAGCCCAATAAGACCTGGCAGCAAGTGTTCTGGCTGACCATCAGCATTGCCATCAACAATGCCTATATCCTCTACAAGATGTCAGACGCCTACCACGTTAAGCGCTACAGTCGAGCGCAGTTCGGCGAGAGGCTGGTCAAAGAGCTTCTGGATATGGACGACTGCTCACCCACTCAATGAAAGAAACCGAATGCTGTTTCAAACACAACAACAGTAACACACACACACACACACACACACACACACACACACAAAACCCTCTGCCCTCTAGGGTCACTTAGAATAATCAAATCCTGTACGTAACACAAAACGTGCCAAGTCTGGTTGAAAAGGGATGTTTTTTTTTCACATCTAAACTCACATTTTAGATCCCATTCAGCCATTTGACAAGTCTCTTTAGTCCACTGTACATACAGTACATCACTGTAACACTTGCTGCATGAGAAACATAAAAAAACATCGTGCCCTTTGTAGATGTGCAATGATTTTTATCAATAGAGTTCCAGTAATAGTGTCGACGTAGTATTGAACCCTTGAGGTACACCATTTTGTGAATTCTCTCTGTTTGTGAGCGGCATATCCAACATTCAGCACTGATAAGCATACTGTAGAAACTCAACTGAGATGTGTAATCAGCAAAAACAAGAATGTAATGCAATTCACATGTTTAATCGCGGAGCATCGTTGATGTTCTTTCAAATATCTGGCCTTTTTCTATTTTATATCACTTAATATTTATCTTTATGACTCTTTTTTTAATAAAAGGCAACAATGTTAGTGATACAGATAATGTATTATGCCAGGTACACATGGCACTACTACTATGCTTCCCCAGTTGTTTTTTTGCACATTGAAATAGTAGAACAAGTAGGATTTGCAGATTTTAAATATATTCAAATATTTGAAATCATAATCATTCCAAATGAGATTTTCCTATATTTAGCACTCCATATATAAAAATCCTTCATCTGCCTTTCATTGTTATCCCTATGATTCTGTTAGTGAACTTATTATAAATCTAGTAAGAAAAAAGGGCCCAATATACAGTAGTATACCAAAAATAATGTAAATATGATTTCTTATAATTCATTTATATATTTTTATTGTGTGTAATTTAAATCGACTAGGGGCATTGATGTTTTCACGAAAAATGAATGAAAAGACTTAAGAAGAATGTCTCACTACCTGTAACCAGGTGGATTTACTGGATGTGGTCTTTTGCTGTTGTAGAATCTATAACAAGATCAGTTCTCAATGTTATTATATTGTAATAATTATGGTACAATTGCAGCATGTGGTGTAATTTGTCCCATCAGAGAGCAGACACAGATCCATACTGAAATATTTCCCTCAGGTAATATATATTTAAAGTAGTCAAACATGTCCCACTGTATCACTGTGTCACATTCATACAACATATGATGACCACTGTAGGGTCCTATGAATTCCTATGAATTGTTTTTTTTCTGTTTGTAATTTTTCTAGTCTACATTACATTGTGATGGTCAATCTTAATACTACTAAAAATAAATAAATAAAATAACAATAATTAAAGAAACTTCTGAAACCATGTAATTCAGTTCATTAAAAGTTAAACAAAATTTATCTTTTTTTAAAATGATTATTATTATTTTTAGAGGGGTTTCACTTTTAATTTAAATAGAATGGTGGAGGTTACAAACAAAAAAATATTGGGAGAAGAGAGAGGAGAAGGGACGGCAAAGGACCTTTAGACAGGAATTGAACTCGGGTCACCGTGAGCACCATGGTGCTATATTTTGGCCCACTTAAACACTAGGCTATTGGCTATGACAACAAAATTGTTCCTATTATGAAATCAATTTGTTCAAATTCCATTTTAATATTTACTTTCAAAACACTGTAGAACAATTGTGTAGTTATTTCTTAAAGGTGCAGTAGGTGACTGTCTTCAAAAACATTTTTGGTTGTGCTGGGTAAAAGTCTCTTCAGCCAGACGGAATCTGCTGACGTTTTTTGCTATTTCTGTGGAGAATTTTGGTAAAAGTATGTGGATTTCTGTGGATATATTTTGGGAGTATGATAACTAAAAGCTTAATATATGAAATAAAAATAATATCTTTTTACTTTTATTTAATGTTTACAATGCAAATCCAATTAGATTCACTTTATTTGGCAAATAAAGCAAGTTTGTCATATTTCTAGTAAAAGACAGAAAATATTACTTTACAAACTGCATTGTACATAAATCAGATGAACATTTTTACATGTCAACAATATTTCTGAAATTAAGTATAAAAAAACTGAATAAATATAGATTTACACACATTTACTCAAGTAAATGAACAGAATTAATTATGGGCTAAAAATCTGCGGTATTATGCGCACGCAGACTCCAGTTGGGCCTAGTTATGTTTAAGGTAAATTATCTAAATGTATTTATATGTATTTTTTTATTCTGGGTAAGATATAAAACTAAAAAATGTTCATTCAATTAAAATTTATTGGGCCGATAATTCTGATAAGTAGCCCAAACTGTCAGTCAGCAAATGTAGATTTGCACAACTGCGCACCTCTGTTCACGCAGAGTCACTGTTTGAGAGTACATGTGCGCTGTGGTCACATGGACATGAGTGACAGCAGTAAAAACAAAAGCTGAATTAAATTAAAACTTTTTAAAATCCTGGATCAATATTGGAGTTACTTTTTAAAGCTGGAGGAAGGATGATACAATGGCTGAAATATTTATTTTAACAGGTAATGTTATGTTTTAAAACTTTAGTAACGCAAAGCTGATGTAGATTTTGTTGTTGTTTTTAATGAATAGGTTATATGCACAGAAGTGTTGTTCACCAACTGAAACCTTCTGACGAAAGATTGATATGACGTTTCAGTTTCATGAGGGATCTTTTACAGCAAATTTAATGTCGATTTTTATTAACCATATGTAAAAATGGCTATTCCGCCTAGCCTGCTTTACTGAGGTAAAGTTGGTTTTATATTCTCATTGGTTCATTTTTGAACAATGAGAACCTGTGATGCGCTCCCTATATTGTTTTCTATGCTATTTTGAATATTCAGTCTAAAATAGCATGTAAGTATGGCTTAGTAATTAGTGTAATTTCTACATGCTGCCGGCCAACCAGTAAGCATAAAGTAGTCGCTTTAGGACAAAGCGTGTTAGAGTGGGACTAATATTGAACATTATGACAAGTTTTGCTCACTAACTACAGAACTGAAGCGGTGCTAGATATAATAATATAACTGTTTTTCATTTAGAATGATAGTATTATAAAGTAGCCTACTAAAAGTTTTCTAACTGGCGAATGACATGATCTAGAGCAGGGGTCTCAAACTCGCAGCCCGCGGGCCATTTGCGGCCCTCAGTGCAATATTTTGTGGCCTGCGCCGACCGCTGTACTCTTACAGAATCAGCGGAGCGGGGAGAGAGAGCGCTCCCCGCTCCGCTGATTCTATCCGTACACAGCGCGCTTGTCACTCAATGCGCGTTGTCGCGTGCGTTCTGATCAGCTGTGTTGTCGCGCGCGTACTCGAGCGCGATGTTATCGCGCGCCTACTGAAGGGCGGGACCGAGGGTGTGTCGCGTCGCGGGGGCACTTTTGATCATTTTGGAAGGGCACTTTCTATGCAAGACTAAAAAGGGCATGTGCACTGCACAGGTTGAGCCCTATGTGTTCACGTGCCTGCCCTGCATCTTATATATATTGATATTATAGGTAGATACAGACTGGTACAGACTGATGTGACTGGAGTGGGGTGGGGGTGTTTTATTTATACATATATACGCCTTTTTTTTAGGTGAGGGAATGGAAGTTTTGAGTGAGTTCCCCCACTTTTTTCCCTAGGACTTCAATAAGTCAAAGTACAGGTCTAGACTTAATGATGATCATCTTCAAGCCATACTGAGGGTCTCAACTGCTTCCGCTCTAAAGCCAAATGTGGTTCAGATTTGTGAGAAGAAGCGCTGTCAAGTCTCTGGCAGCAAGAAGTAGGCAAAAGATGCCATGTTCAGAAGAACTGTTCATAATCTTCACTCAATGTTCTATTAATGTTCAGGACACTTCATGTTCAGAAGAAATAATAAAAACTGTTAATAATGACATTTGAGGACTTTTTTTTGTGAAATCCCTTATGCGGCCCAGCCTCACCCAGACTTTGCCTCCTGCGGCACCCAGGTAAATTGAGTTTGAGACCCCTGATCTAGAGGGTCTCGGTCATCTTTAATGTGCGCGTTCGTGTGATTTCAGGAGGCGTGGCTTTTATAGGGGACAATTTTTTTTTCAAACATTATGCTAACTGGTTAGCATTTAGGCAGATCACCTACTGCACCTTTAACAATAAAGTTTTAATTACTTTTGTTTTTAATTCATGTTTACAGATATATATTTTATTTCCTACTTTGAAAGTCGATATACCAACAAGTGTTAGGTTATCAACATTTTTTCTAAAATTTATTTGCCTGTGCTCAGCAGAAAGCTTAGAACAAGAGTCAATAATGACAGATTTTTTGGGCGTTAAAACTCAAAACAATAAAAAAAAAAGCCAAATTGTGTGTCGTTAAACAACTACTCCCTTTTTTTATTACTGGATTTGTTATTCACATAAAAGAAAACATAGGCCTCTACCACTGTAAGGAACAGATGCACTGTAGTGAACACAATTATGATTTAAAAGACATGCTTTAATATCTCTTATTTACAGCTAACTGTGCCATCACCTATTGATTTTCATACTAAGTGAAACGCTGCACACCAACAAACCACTTAAGGTGCATGGTACTGAATTTCCCTTAAAACATTACTTTGAAGCTTTTTATTGAGTCAATACTAAACTACATTATGCCTTTGTAATTTAGATCATTCAATTTTAGTCATAGGTATATTATACACCATATTTTATATCTGCATCTTTTGTTTTTTTAAATCATGACAAAAGCAATGTTGTATCACAAATACAGTAGGTGTGTTCATAAATGATTGTTCCTTATTTGTTTGTCGTGAATTTATCATTTCATTGTAATATTTTTCTACTACTAAACTAATCTATGTAACACACTAACAAGTAGACTTCAGGCGATAACTGCCACCTGTGCTTATCAAAGAGAAAATGCAACAGATGATTTTAAGATTGTATATCTGTGATTTCCAGAGCAGTTTTTGGGTGTTTGCAGCACACACTCC